AAAAAAAAAACACACACACACACAATGCACGCACAAACACACACGCACGCAGGCACAAACAGTCACACACACACACACAAAAACACAACGCACGCACAAACACACGCACAAACACACACGCACGCACGCACACACACACACACAATGCACGCACAAACACACGCACAAACACACACGCACGCACGCACAAACAGTCACAAACACACACACACACAAACACAACGCACGCACAAACACACGCACAAACACACACGCACGCACGCACAAACAGTCACAAACACACACACACACACAGACACACACACACACATGCACACACGCACGCACGCACACGCACACACGCACACACGCGCGCGGTCATTCATTTACGCCCGCCCGACCGCACGCACGCACTCACTCACTCACCCGAATGCGTCCATCCGTCCGTCCATCCGTCCAGTCCAGCCCTCCATCCACCCATGCATCCATGCATTCATGTATCCCTCCATCCATCCAAAACTTGGGGTGTAAGCAGAAAGCCGAGGAGCGATCCACTGCTTGAGGAGTTAAAGCCTCTGGTGGATCGGCTGATGACGCAGGTCTGCGGGCTTTCTCAAGGTTGTGAAATACAGGATTGCTGAAGGTTCTGCTTCCGGCTCTCTGCGCACGTCTGTGCTTGTCAATTGCCTCCATCCCCCTCTTCTTTGCTCAACTTCGCCTGCTCTTGTCGGACATGTTTGCACTACCCTAAGTGAACAGTGAAGGGTTCGAACCTACTTGATCCGACCATCCCAGCCCGTAAAAAATCCGTGACATTTCACACCGGGACGACAGATATATCCTTCTGTAGTGCGTAATTTGAGGGAAGCCTGAACCTTTTGAATACTACTTTTGGAGGAGGCGGCCGACTCTGTGACACTGGTCGGCATGCAGGTGGCAATAGAAGTCGCCTGCCAAGGCTACATGCATCTTGGTTTCTGTCTTGGCTTCATGGCTTATAGCATATGTTGTAGGGAGGTTTACAGAACCGTTTAGTTAAGTCAAATATCGTAAATCTCATGAAGGACCCCTCCGAAATTATGAGGTCTGCTGCTTAGGTAAGGACTATCGGGGTCTGTGGGGCACGGATCATCACCACCAATACAGCAGTCAACGGAAGACAAGTTTCTTCAGAGTAGCTTGCCGTCAAAAGCCCAAGGATGCCATGATGTAGAGCCAAACGGGCCGAACCCCAAGCAAACCTTGAAGGCCTTCGGATAGCCAAGACCTCGCTGATTCGGCCCCTTTGACCTGCGAAACTTGATTTAGGAGCCCGCAACCCCAACAGCCTACCAGAAGTCGAGGCACCGGGTGCTGCCTCGTATTTGCGCCGATGTCCAGGCCTGCGAGCGTAACTTTGGGGTTATACTTTGGAGACAATGACTAAGGGACAAGATAGGAGGATCCTTCTGTCTATGAGGGGTTAACGAGAAGCCCAACAATTCAACACACTACCACATGTTCAAATCGCAGGCCCAGCTGCGGCCAACCGCGAGAAAAGCCTTGGGCGTGCTGGACGAGGTTCTGTGGTTCTTAGTTGTATGAGTGCCTGAAGGATTTTTGTGCATGTTAAGACTGTTTACAGCCTCAGGTCCGCAACTCCAGACACCTAGAGCTGTGCCTCTGTGAGCGGAGGAGATGGGGTTCACGACAGCCTCTGGCACGGAGCCCTCTCCCCTTGCGCTTGTTTTTCGCGCACCAATCTTCCTCGCCGTGCTCCGTGCTGCTCGGCTCGGCAGAGGCGGAGTGTGCTATTCCGAAGAGTCGATAAGACCTCTTCTGATTGTGCCAGGTCTTCAAAGGCACGAAGCTTGAACTTTGAAACCACAAGTTCAGTGGAAGCGTCAAGACGCCAAACCTCATACCCAATGACAAACCCGAAAGCTTGATCTCCATTCTTGGAAGTGTTTCACCTCGACCACGCAGCAATAACCTCGCCTGGCTTGTCCGAGTGTGAGCGCCGAAACTCCGTACCCTAGACCATAAAAGCCCCAAGTCAACTCATAGGAGATCGCACCGAGGCCCGGCGCCGGTTGACACAGCTTCCTCTGGCGGACCTTGGGCTTGCGCCGGCTGGCGCAGCAGCTCTACCTGGTCGAGGTGGGATCTATGCGGCGAACGTTGGTGCGGTTCTTCCCTGATTTGTCTTAAAAAAGTGACCAGCGCGATGACCGTTACGATGGTAATTAGTCTGATTCGTCGTCGCCGTCGTCGTTGCCGTCGCATCATTTCGATGAAGACCCTCGAGGCCTTTGCTAACCCTAAACCGTTTACCCACCGCAACCCAAAGGTCAGCGCTGGGGCCTCGGCCGCCATTTTGCAGCGGCGGTTGCAGCACCTCGGCGCTGCATGGCAACTGCTCAAGTACCTCTGTGATACGCTCCCATAGTATAACTATAACTTCATGGGGACTGTGGACCTCTATATGTGACCTCGCGGAGATTTGAACACTTGGGACTACTAGGTCTTCATACTTTGAAGGCGTTGTGGCTTTGCAGTGTTTGCAGTGGTCCAGATGGAAAGAAAAACGTAAGGTTGACAAACTTGCGGGCTGGACTAAGAGACGTCGCTTCGGGCTTCTGTTGGATTTTTGGCTTCGAACATGCCGTGGTCTCAAGGTCGTGCGGCGCTGCGGTAGGAGGTCTAGGTTCGTTGACGTGCTGGTCTCCTTCGAGGATTTCCTAGCAGCTGCCGAAGCATTAGCACGGATCCGTTTGCATGGGTGCACGTTGTAGCGAAGTCTGACATCTCGTCTCCCCTCCTTCCAGAAAGCAAGCAGAAGTCTCGCAATCCCTGACAACATCTGCTTTGAAGTGCGGTGAGCCAGATCCCCAAAGCCTCTGCACGCCCCGAAATTAGTCTTAAGGGGCAACTCCAGAACCCACAGGAGCACCCCTTGTAAGGACAGTTCCTTCTACACTGAACCCCCATGGAAAATCCGATCCAAGTGCCTTCGTGCGGCCCAGGCCATCGTCTTGTCGGAGGACTTCGCTGCATTGGGCGAAGTCGCCCCATGCTGCGGCATGGGCGCGTCTTCAGCAGAGTTCCAGGTCAGCTTGAACTTTTGTCGTAAGTATGAGTATTCCGACTACTCACAATAACCCCGCGCATGAGGTGGTGGTATTGTTGAAGAGGCTGAGAAGTCACCGGACTGAATTCCTATACTGCTTAAACTCCGAACCCCGAAACCCTGAACCTTCCCCCTACCATCCGTAAACTCTGTTGCCAGGAACTTTTGGGCGTGCCCCTGGCTGCATGCGTAGTGCCCCTGAGGCGCAGCCTTGCCGGTCTGCAGGAGACACGTTCAGGGGTTCGTTTTTTTGGTTTTCGGTGTCGTGTAGACTAAACAACGGTTCGATCGAGGCGCGGTTGTTAGCGATCGCATGCTGTGGCACGTCTGGTGGGGATGCAGTCCAACTCAATGCAACAGGTGGTGATTTTGGATACTTAGTGAAACTTAATGAACTCTTGCAACTCGCAACAGTTACAAGGACGAGGGGGCTTCGTGCTGAAATCCTCGCAACTATTGCCGTTTCAGGATCTTGATAGCATCATCTGATAGCACTCCGATATTGCAGCAATGCCTAAAGTCTACAGTCACCGAGATGACTTGGGGCTGACATCCTACTGACTGCTGTCGTTTCTGCATCTTAGAATCTTGGCGTCCCTCAAAAGAGCGAACGGTCACAGCAATAGGCGGGGCCACAATCCATGTCTGGATCGCAAGCCTCGCAGCTTAACAAGTTCCACGTGAAGCAGGGAGAAACCCAACCCAGCCACACAGTGGGAACCGGCATTGAAATCCAACACAGTTCAAAATCCATTCAGACCTACGCGCAATCAGAATCGCAGATTCCATTCCGAACCCAAGCCCACCCACACCCACAGCGGGAGGCGGGAAGCCAGAACCAGCCGCAAGCACACGGGAAGGAAGGAAGGAAACCTTACAGTGGGCAAGGGGAGGAGGTCCAGGACGCTCTGACCGCGGGGTGACATGGGTAGCAACAAATAACGGGCCTAAGTTCAGGTGTTAGGCTGTTAGGATTTTCCCGAACCACAACCTGAGGTCAAGTCAAAGTCACCAGATTTAATCCTAAGCCCTATATATATATATATATATGTTCTCCAACCCCGAGCAGGCCAATCTCTGAACTCTGGTGCCTCCCTAACTGTCCTGCATTTGCCTAGTAAGCCGTGGAAGCCATGCCGCAAAGCTTGTGCCATGAGCACCCAAACCTTGAACTCAAATCCCTGCACCCTGAACTCGCAAACTTGAAGCCGATTCTCCTATCACCTGTATTATGACAACGAGTATGGTTCTTTCTGATAGTATGATGACGATTAGGATTCGTCCGTTCCTGAGCGTTATTTGGTAGCTTCCCAGGCCTGAACTCCCAAACCCAAGCGTAGCAGGGCCTCAGCGGAGGAGCGCCTAGGCGAGCAGCAGGTGGCTACACTCCTGAAGACCAAGGCAAGGCCCATACCGAGCTTTTGGAGTTTACATCCTTGGTTCTTGGAGAAGGTAGCCAAGGGTCGGCCACCCATTTGCTACCGGGACTGCTGCCGTAGAAAGTCCAGAAGTGCGATACTGCAATCATGGAATAGAACGGGATATACGACTGCAAAATATATTGCAAGCTATTGTCTTTTTGTTGCAGCCTTCGAAGGCGGGGCAAATCTTCGCCTTCGCCCTGCAGCTGCCTTTGCTCACCTACGACAAGCCATGTTACAAGGATCAGACGAACCCCGTGGCCGTGGCGGCCGCCTTCCGGGAGGCGAAATCAGTGAGCTCTGCGAGTTCGCGGTCGCAAAAGGGCATCGATGATGTGTGCAAGATTTCTCGATATTGGGAGGCGAGCCCCTGAATCTGAAGCCGCGAAGCCACAATTTTTGCAGCTTTGTTGCGCCCTCGGCACAGGTGGGCTCTGCCTACGAGTGGGCGGACACGAAGAAGTTTGTGGCGAGACACTTCCGGGAAGCCTGGTCAGAAGAAACGGTTGAGGGTTTGGGGTCGAGGGCCGAAAATGCAGAGCTTTCTATTGAGACCCAAGACCATCTGGTTTGGAAGTCCGTCCTGGTCTGCATTGCCTGCGGGTTCAGATGGGCTTGCGGTCTAAAGCCTCCAAAACCTCAACTCAGAACATTTCTAAACGCTGAGTCCTCAATTATCCGGAGCCCGAAACACCCATACACTCCGCATGTCCTACACAACAAACATTTGTGTTCAGATGTTTTGGGGTTGCCTCCCTTCTGCTGTGTGAGTTCTGGGTCTCAGGGCTTACTCCTCACAGCCTTGCTGCGTTCCAAGGTGAGTGTGCGGTCAATCGTTTTGGGGTTTGGGGCTCCAGCTCGTGGGCTGAGGCTGTTGATTTGGTATCTGCTTTGGCCGTCTTCTCTCATGGCACGACCTGCAGTGTGGCATCAGTCAGCTAACGTAAACTCTCGACTTTTGCGCTCAACTTTGAGACGTCTAGTAACTCTATTTATGTCCTACGCGCAGGCCACCAGCTTCTCAAGAATGCCTGTGGCCCTAAAGAAGACACTTAAGCCCTAACTCTCTGCAGAGAACCTGAATCCAAATTGCTATTTGGAGTTGCCAAAACAGGCTTCAATCCTCTTTTCAGCCCCTGAGCTGCTAAACTTCCCAAACAAGAACATCAACGATTCTCATGCCTGTACCTCAGCTAAGCCCGCAAGTCCAAACCCCAGTCCCTCAACTAACCGGAGCTTTAACAAAGTCCGAGCAGCCGTCCGGGACCCTACAACATGACCTTAAAGGGTTTCTCTTGTAGAAGTATGCGATACTGTTTTAGCTAATATATGCTAGCCATGAATCAATAATCCCGATCCTTGAAGCTGTCGCCCACTGCTTAGGAGTTGATCTTTTACCTCGACCCGATGATTCGCACTTGGGCACGCTTTGCGCCGAAGGTGGCATGAATACATCACCAGTCCAAGGGCTTGTGAGACTTTTGAGTTGCAGCGGATTCAAGCTTCGTATTTCTAGGCGAGCCGGAGCAACGGCAAGGATTCCCTCAAACTAAAATTCCCTGCGAGGCGGTGCTGGAGCTTCTCCGAGCTGTCGTGGACTGGATGGGCCATGTCACCGGGAGTCGGCTACGTCTCCTCCTGGCCCTCTTGCTTCAGCATGGTGAACGCCTCCGTGGGCGAGACCGTAGCGGCTTAAGAGGCTTGGCAGAAGGGTAGAGGATAGCGCGGGTGCCGGTGCTTCAGATGGTAACTGCTTTGTTCCTGCGTATGCTTCCCAGCAGTCAATTTGCAAGAACGGGTGAAAGATTCTCCGCACTTTGCGCCATGTGATCCCTCTCAGTCATTCCTTCGACCCCAAGCCACTCAGCCCCTTCGAACTCCAGCGCGAGCCTCTATTAAGAAACAGCGAGCTTACTGCAGTAGCTCGGCGGACTTCTAACAGCTGCTCGAAACTAGTCAGGCATCCCGCATATAGCCAAATAGAACATACCCCGAAGCCCTATTCTAACGAGTTAGGCGCCTGAACGACCATATAGTGTTGGCAGGCATCCCTGCAGGATCGAACGTCAGATCTATCTTTCCCCTGGGCGTAGCGTTACAATCGTAAACATGGTGGGTTAGGAGTTGAGTTAGGATGATTCTCATGCGTGAAGCACAAGGCCCCTCTTAGCAATAGCTTTGGAGCATCTTCGACACAAGATGCACAGGTCACAAAACTTGACATTAGTCTCTTCAGTTCTGGGGCCCGCAAACCATTCGGATGAAGGTAGGTGGCTCAAGGAATTGTAACTGCATACCGTTGCGGCGGCTTTTGCACTTGCGTTCCTCCTGGCTCACTTAATCCTATAGCCCCCGCATGCATCAGACCGTAAGTCCAAAGCTATCGCAACAACAAATGATAGTGAATCCTGACCATCTTGTCGGTCGGTGGCAACCCATGATGACGAGGATGATGGAAAGTCTCTGCAGCTCTATTCTAGTCATGCTGAGGCTCAAGTCCACGTTTCCGAGCTCAGGGTAGGTGCTCAACTACGCAATTGGAAAAAGTTTCATTCATGCATGTCTGGACGGATCTATCGCACGTGATGCAGTGTTGGCAATACATGTACTGGATGGGTTCTGTTTTATTGCGACTCTCAGTCTGCAGCTGATCGCAAACGATCATGAACTAAATATCCCAAGAAGTTGCACCCGATATATGCTCTCGGGTCCCGGGCCCCTCCCCCCCCCCCCCCCCCGCACCCCATGATCTGCCAGTTCAGTGGCGCCTGCGACACCCTGCCCTGCTGCTGCGCGGATTAGGGGGGGCCGCACTTCCCCGCCCGACCCCGCATGGTACCCAACCCC